CTGAGCACAGCTTGGGAGGGGATGTAATTTGAGTGGGGCGGGGTCTCAGAGAATCACCAGGGCAGAGCAAACAGCAATGGCTGTCATCAGCGTCTCCGCGACTCCGCATCTCCGCAACTCCGCGTCTCTGCAGCCCCGCGCCCCCACAGCAACAATGATCCCTGCAAGCAGCTCTGCGAGAAAGCCACCTGCACTTTCCAAACCACTGAAAGACAGTCCAGTTTCTCCCTGTAGGAGTCTGGGACCCCAGAACCCCGCCTTAAACAAGCTCAGTGCATTCGAGAGCTTGTATCTCCTTCCAATTGGAAAAAAACCGCACATCCAGGTGCAGCCTGCCTCGCGCGCCTTTGTACCTCTGTTCTTGGCACCTCTGCACCTCCTACCCGGTCTCAATGTGCTTCTTTCTTTCCTTCTAGTTGTAGAACTTCCACTCGGCCAGCTTTCCCGTGGTTCTGGATGATAGCTGTTTTGTCTTATAGTTGTAGTTTCAATGTTGTTGTGGGAGGCAGCACGCACAGGTTTATACCTTATGCCGCCATCTTGGTTCTCCTCTAGTGCTATTATTATATGCATTTCATAAATGAGGATACTTAGGCTTAGAGAAGTAATTTGCCCACAATAGTGGGCAGGGATTTGAGTTGAAATCTTTTGGACTCCAGAGTCTGTTACTCCCCTAAACTATCTCTCAATTAGACATTACTATATGACATGAGCATTTGGGGGCAAACTTCTGCACAGATGAAACTGAGTATGCTAAATAATCAAATGCCAAAGTTTATTGAATTGCTTTAATAAGAGAAAAAAGTATAAGAAAGATTACTATAAGAAAAATATAGTCTTCTAATTTAAAACATCAAGTCTTATAAATGTCTCATTTTCCTGATGGGAAATAATCAAGAACTTACGTGTGAGAAAATAGCTTTGATTCATACTCTGTGAACAATTCATCAGCCTTACAAAAGACACAGCTGGAAAAGAAGAAACTGTCAGTAAAATATTCACAAAAACAACCAGCAATCAGGTAATTTCTACGAAAGGCTAAGTATTTTGTATTTCACTTTTTCTTTTCAACAAATATGCTATTTTAGGGAAAAAAAGATTTTCAGTATGTGATCCTTTAGAGTTTTTTTTTTAAAGTTAGATTAATGATTTACATATTTCTAATTCTGTCTGAATTCAAATGAAAAAAAACACTTTTATTATATAAACCATATTTCTTCTCTCAGGAGAAATGTAGCCTGCCCTAGCTGGTTTGGATCAGTGGATCAGTGGATAGAGCACAGGACTGAGGACCAAAGGATCCCATTTGATTCAGGTCAAGGCACATATAGGCTCAATCCTAGGCCCTGGTCCAGGGTATGTGCGAGAGGGCCACCAATCAAAGTGTCTCTCTCACATCAATGTTTCTCTCTCTCTCTCCCGCTCCCTTCTACGCTCTCTAAAAATCAATTAATTTTGGGGTAAGGATTAAAGCAAGCAAACAAACAAAAAAAGAAGAAATTTGGCCTAAAGGAATGATGCCATTTCATCTAATGCTTTCTCCTAGTACCTACCAGTTGAGAGGAAGTCTAATTGGTCGGAGGTGGCAGATTGTTGCAGACTCAATAACATTACGAGATGGAGGTCCCTCCAGGTTTTTAACAGCCTCTCTTACCAGCTTCTGGAATTTATTTAGTTCTTCCATTTGTGTTGTTAGTAAGAACTGAAGACCTCTGCAATCACGGAATCTAATTCCCATCACCAGCACCAAACACAATACAAAGAAATAAATAGTAGGTCAATTTCTTCACATTTAGAAAATGGTTGCTAAACAGAGAAATTGCAACATTTTACCTAGTCACACTTTAGTGAGTTTACCTTAGGAGTGTATTCTATTGGTATCTATTAGGCAAGGAATAATAACATTGGATTATCTACTTTAAAAAGTCTGATAGTTCCTATTCCCAGGAACTAAAAAACAGTACTCAAAATCTTCTATGTATGTCTTAGATGACTTTGAAAGATCATGATTGCCATAGTCTTTCTTTTTATTGCTGAATGAGTACAGACATTCTAGCTGTATGTGGAGAGGTGACAGCAGGATGAAAGATAAACAGAACATTGGGGAGAAAGAAAATTAGCCAAAAGATATGTTACTTGTTACAAGACTTTATATATGTACGAGTGTGTGTATTTTAAGCATTTACTATATAATAGGCATTTTGGCAAGCATGACTCCTGTGTAATCTCAATAGGTACTATGCTCACGTTATTGAGAAAGCTTAACAGATTAATTTAAGTTTCAAAATTATTATGTAGCAGTTAGAAGTTAAATCCAAACAATGCTCTTAACTATTCTGATAAACTATGGATAAAACAGACTAAGAAAAGTATGGATGTGTGTAAATGGATTTATGAAAGGAAAAAGAAAGCCTAAAATAATAAATTAGAAAATGGGAAATACAAACACAATTTGTTTGCTTTTTAAATTAAGAGTATGCTCTTCTCCTTCCTAAAATGCCATATGCTCTTCCCTTCAAATTATTCATAATAGCCCACTCTTGTTCCTGAAGCTTCTCCAACATTTCAAAACACTAATCTATTTCTTCTTGTCAATGGAGTTTATTAAAAATACCACTTATTCTAGTACTTTGTTATATTCAGTTTTTATATAGTCATATTTCTCAAATTATTCATGGGTATTGTCTTCTCATTAAACTAAACTTTAGAAGGTAGGGATTAGATCATATCCTTAAGAAAAACCCTATATTCTTTTGATGAACTTTTCACTGAAAACTAACATTAATCCAAGGCTAATTTTCTGCTGGGATGTGATCTGAGAAGCAATAAGATTCTCTCTCTGTTCTACCCACCTAGAATCAACAGTCCTGCCACAACACCTAAATTTCCCACATCAGACAGATACTCATTTGAGTCAGACCACTAAGGGTACTTTTGATTTAGAATAAATTTATTCACCATTTCTATATCTAGAGCAATAATCCAATTTACCTATAAAGACCCAGAAGAATAGTGTTGATGAGAAGAAAGATGGGGAAGAAAGAGCAGGTAACTCTATAATATAAAACCTGCCACTGTGGCACTAGGATGCTTAGAATTTAGGGAATGAATTATAGGGAAGTATGAATATCTTACTAAGGACAAAATTCTCCAAAACAAAGTCTATTTCAAAACCTTGTCCAACAAAGATAAAAAGAAAATACTTTAAGCAGATTAAAAAAAAAAAAAGCAGTAAAAAGAGTATTTTTAAGTGACTAATATGTAGAAAAAAGGGTTTCTCTTTTAGATTTACACCTAATATTTTGGTTTGAAGTGTACTCAACAATATAAAATCCAGATGTTTGTAATCACAATATGTTCCTATATTTAACTGGACCTCTTAATAACAACTGATCTGAATTTTTGGGGTGGCTACTCATACAGCTATTCTATTTTTTAATATTCTCTTACTTCTCTGACATAGAAAGCTTGCTAGTCTGTTGCTTGTAGTTGCTGGTTATTTCATTTCGCACTCGTTGGACAAGCTCCTCATCAATAGAGAATTCCACTGCTCTGTGGATCACATTCAGCCACCAAGGAGAATTAGAATAAATCTGTAAGAAAAGATAACAGCTGATCAATTAATATTGCTGTAGTAGTCACTATATTTCTATCCTTTGGAAGGGTGCTTTGAAAAATTCAAAGGCAGCAATAAATGCTACTCTAAAGGGAATTATAATAGTGGTGAGTCAAGTATACATTTTTTATACACAATAAGTGAGTACAACTTTTTCATAATATAATTAAAGAGAACACCTGTTTCCTGACTACTCTAGATGAATGAGAATTTCTTGTGCAGACTTGTATAATAAAGTTGTGCTAAAAAATACTTTACCAAAATGAAAATTCAGTACTTCCTCCATATATTTGAAAAGGTAACAGGTTTCTTTCTTAATATAAAGACATTATGCTAATACTCAACTAACTGAACTAGATTCTACTCAATAGTCTATGACAATTAACAAATTATATGCCTGAATATTAAATAATTAATGAAATTAGGAAGAATAAAATGTGGAGTAACTGGTAAATATAAAAAAATAAATGAGTGTATTTTGTGTAGCCTCCTCTTTAGACATTGCTACCGATTTCATAAGAGGGAAATTTTAGAAATGACAAATGGCTTGTATTAATAAGAAAAATACCTATGGTTCTAATGTTCTGACATCTTAAAAGAAAAAATTTTGGCAACATACACATCTAAGATTAAAAGAAGATTTTGAAAGTCTTTTTCTTCTTTAAAAAATAACTTGTTAAATATACCCAAAGTAAAAGAACTATAAGTTAAATATAAGTTAAATATACCCATAATAGCTTAAAAGAAATAAAAAAGAATAACTTCAAAATAGGTGATCCATTTATGCATCTGTTCATTCAATTAATAAACACTGCTAACAGCAAATAAACTTTATTGTGCGACAGGCACCATATTAGGGACTTAGAATTCCAACATGACTATATAAGTTCAAGTTTCTCCCTATACCAAAACAAAAGCCAAAATGCTATGTAGAGACACACATAAGAAAGTCATTCTGGAGACATACCTTTCTTTGGAGCTCACGAATGGTCTGCTGCACAGGCAGCAAAGCTTGCTGTGCTTCAGCAACCTCAGTGTTACACTTGCTCATATAATGCTCCCTCAGTTGTCTGGCCTGTGTTAAAACAGCAAACAGTATAAACTTTCACTCCGGGTCTAGAAAATAACTGAATATGGTGTTTCAAAAGAACAATGTGGTTATCTTATATATTTAAAGGTACTTAACTGAATTTAAGCATAAAACTCTACAAGTATACTGTAGAGAACATAAAAACCATGACAGAAATTCCTGAGATATATATTAAAGTGAACACCTTTACCTGTTAAGTCACAAAATCCAAGAAATCCCAAGGGTTTGCTCCCAAAATTTTATCAACTTTTTAATTAAAAAAAAAAGGGAGAAAAAGAGTAATATTTAAAATTATGAGATGAAACAAGGATCTCTTTCAGAATCCCTTACCTGATTGATTTCAATTTCTTGGAATTTCCTTCAGTTGAGAAATAATACTTGAGAATATACACTAACAGGGGTGTTATAGACTGACTTGTGCTCCCCCAAAGTACATATGGTGAAGCCCGAACCCCCAATGTGACCACATTTGGAGATGGGGCCTTTAAAGGAGATGATTAAACGTGTAAATGTGGTTAAATAAGACCATAAGGGGGAAGCCCTAGCCCAAAATGACTGGTCTCTTTAAAAGAAAAGAGCCAACAGGGATGCAAACAAAGGAAAGGCCAGGTAAGGACACAGTGAGAGGGCATCCATGTACCAGCCAAGGGGAGTCCTCCGGAGAAACCAACGCTGCTGACGGATCTTAGGCTGCCAGACTCCAGAACTGTGAGAAATGAATTTCTGTTGTTTAACCTTCCCGGTCTGTGGTATTTTATTATGGCAGTCCTAGCAGATAAATGCAACAAGGGTCTAAAAACTCTTTCCCTTTCAACTTAAGGAGGATCACATAATTTGCAAGCAATAGAAATACTGAAAAATTTATTCTTTAAACCAGATAAAAACAAGACCACTTTTGACTTAAAAAAAAAAAAAGTCAATTTCATGAGGTCTAACTGCACAGATACACCTCTCTGGACAAGGCATTACTGCTCTGGGCTCCCATTACTTCATTTACAAAAGGAGGAAGTTGAAGTTGATGATTTCTCAGATCGTGTCCAGCTTTGAAATACTCTGCCTTCACATTCTATGCGAGTTAGGCAAAAGAGATAATACATGGAAATGAACCTTCCTCCTCATGGTGCATTTTTCCATTTCCTCTCACAAGCTTTCAATTAATTTCTATTAAAATTCATTGGCTATAAATAGTTGGTCATTAAAGCTAATAGACTGGACTATCTCCCAGAGTTGCCTGTGACTAAAGGCAGTTAAACAGAGTGACTGGTTATATGCAAAAATTAGATGCCTGCAATGGGAATGAAATTTCACTAGAAAATTTCTAACATGTAGACTGCCATCTAACACTAAGAAAGGGCTGTACATACTTAAACAATTTCATTTTGTATCTCGTTGATTCAAATACAGGCTCTGCTGACAGGTTCAATCCATTTCAAACACATCTACTACTCTTTAGATTTAAGCTTTGCCATCTTTCTTTGACCTTTAAGAAGGCAAAAATTCATGATCAAATTAGCATAATAAACTTATTAACAATTTATAGTGAATTGATTTATAATATCACTCTTTCCAGAGAGTCAATACTCATTGCAGAGGGACCTTCTATAAGAAATACCACTGAAAATGTGAATTTACTGTCATAAATAATAAACAGAAGGGTAGCGAAAGTATACAACTTACTATTTTTACTAACTATGTTTTTTGCAGATGTGTCATGAGATCAACAAGGTCTTTTTAAATTTGTTGTTTATTTACATTTTGTGCTTTGACTATCAACAACCATGTCTACGACAAGTGGTTGCCCTATAGCTGCAAGCAGATCACCAGAGAACTAAAATACTATGGAGTATTGTCTTTCTCTGCAATCCAAAATCATCACAGCAAAGTTAGAAATGTAAAAGCATCAGGAAAACACGATTACCTTTATTTAATGTTGTATGCCCTAAGAAATATGAATTAGGTGGAGCATGAAGTCTGAAAAAAATATTCTTTAACAGAAAGAATGAAAAATAATAATTACCTCTTCCTCAAGTCTGCCATCTCGCAAGGTAGGAGGTATCCCTGGGTGCTTGTCTGCCAACAATTCCATCAAATTATGAGTTGCATGAAGTCTCTACAAACACACAAAAGGCAGTAATTATGACAGCCAACACAGAAAACTCTAGGGGGAGAACCTACTGTTCATATGGCATGCAGAGCACAAACACCACATAAACCTATCACTGATTTGAGTACCGACTTTGTCAGAGAAAACCGAAGTCAGTTTTATGGTAAAGGTCTTAATTCACAATATCATAAATTTTCCTCAATTAAAAATCTAGTCTTATGAAATATGTCTATGTATTTAGCAGAATATATAATATAGGTGTATTTTTTTCCTATTATATATGCATTTGCCCATATGGGGAATAATGAGTATGCCAAATAAGTTCAATAAAATAAAAAGATAGACTGCCTAGACTTGATTCTTCTTCTGGGAAATGAGTCTGGATGAGCCTAGCAATTACATTATGATACAAATAGGGATAATGAAATACATAAGAAAACAGGGCTATGACCTGGACCTGTTGAACTTAAGGGCTTAATAGGAGAGCTGGAGGTGAAGATGGTATAGGAAAACTCTATCTTGTATCTCTGTATTTAATATAAGCCAGACTTCTCACTGTGACATTGAGTCTGCAAATGCCTAGAGTCCCCTGGAGTTAAGGGCTATGAGAAGAAATAAAGTGAAAGTAATTTCTATTTCTTAATTTGGAAAGACAGGTAAGGGTTAAAGGATCAGAAGAGTGGTTTTTTTGGTAAGATTTGATTTGGTGTCAGTGATTTGAGACTACAAATGTTACTCTGTTTGGCTGCAGATTCTCATAATTCTGAGCCATGGTACAGATCTTTGTAGAATTGACCTTTGAAGAGTTACCTCAACTGTATTAGGTCTTTTCAACATGGCTTCATAGGTAATACAGTCAGAAACACTATCAGATTTAATAACAACAAATGTGTAAACACTAGAGAAACAAAGCGGTAGAAACTTGGCTCCTCTGCTCTATGTGTGCTTGTGGAAGAGGATTTCCGGTGCGTTCTGCATGAGGTGTTGGAATGGTTTGGGAGAAATACTTGCCTCTCTCCACCCCTTACACCTTTTATCCCAAGAAAACGGAGTGCTAATCTAACTGGACAGAGCAGAATATCCAGTGGGCCATGCTTCACCAGTAGGTGGGGTTGTTATGCCCAAAAGGAAGAACCAGGCTGGTGGCTTACTCTTGAACTTAGGCATTTGGACTTATCTGTCTTGTCCACTCTTTTGCTTTTGTTTCCTTTATTCAGGAGCATGATACCTTTGCTTTCCTCCTTCTCCCAAAAGGCAAACACATTTGCTTAAGGTCCAGGGCCTGCCTTAGGCACTCCTTATCCATGCAGAATATAAGCAGACTTATATTTAATTTTCCCTCCTCTTCTCTTCCCTCCAAACACACCTCTTACCACTGGCTCAAGCACATGTGAAAATGTGGGTCCCAGAGTCTCAATTGTGAATGATAAAGAATCTCAGCAGGGACTCAAGCCTAAACATACCAAGGTTAATAAATGTGGTCCTTATTCACCATTCTGCTAGAGAGCCTTGTCTATATAAATCCACTGGACAGAACCAAGAATGGGAAGAGATTTTATACTTAAATGTTGTAATTCAAATATCCAAATCTCCCTAAAAGACCTCCAAAAATTAAATTAGAAGATCATTAGATTTTATTATTACTTAGTTCCATTTCTTTACTTTTTGGTGAAAACCACGTAAATAAATATGTTGATGTTCATATGCAAAAGTGATAAAAATTGACCTCGTTCTTTGAGGTACAAATAATTCAAGCTATTTTTCCAATGTAGGTTAGATTTAGCTAGTCAGTCTTGTGCCAATATCATCCTGAATATATGGAACAGCAGTGATTCTCAAACTTGCATGTACAGTCAGCCCTCCATATCTTCAGGTTTCAAATTTGCACATGAAACCAAACATGGATAAAAAATATTCAGAAAAAACAATCCCAGAAAATTCTAAAATGCAAAACTTGAATTTGCCACACACCGCACCGAGCACTATGCTGAATGCACACAAATGAAGTGATGTGGAGGCACACCGCACTATAGCCTACATGTAAATACAGGTGATATGCAAAACTATGCCATTTCATAAAAGGGACTAGAGCAGCCGTGGGCAAACTACGGCCCGCGGGCTGGATCCGGCCCGTTTGAAATGAATAAAATTAAAAAAAAAAAAAGACCGTACCCTTTTATGTAATGATGTTTACTTTGAATTTATATTAGTTCACACAAACACTCCATCCATGCTTTTGTTCTGGCCCTCCGGTCCAGTTTAAGAACCCATTGTGGCCCTCGAGTCAAAAAGTTTGCCCACCCCTGGACTAGAGCATCTGCCAGTTTTGGTATAACTGGTGTGTGCGTGTGTGTGTGTGTGTGTGTGTGTATCTTGGAACCAATTCCCTGAGGACACTGAGGGAGAACTGTATATGCAAATCATCTTGGGTGCTTACTGAAATAACTGAATCTCAAGCTTAATCCCCAAAGATTATGACAAAGTCCACTTGTTACCCTTCATCTTCTTAAATATTCAGAAAAATTATTTTGTAAAAAAACAGATACAATATTGATTTGACACTATTTAGTTTTACTTACTTGAAGTGAATCAGTTTTGAGTTTTCCCTTGTGTTCCTCAGATGAACGCAACACCTCTCTGTACAGTTCTGCTGCCAATGCATACTCACCTGAAGCATTAAAACGTATTTAAAGCATAAGAAAGTCATATTTAGCTCCCAATATGATATCTATATTTAAAAATGTCTGTAAAAATAAAACTTAGTCATTAAAGCTCACTATTTTTTTTTTCCCCACTATTTTTTTAAAAAAAGGAATTTGACTGGGTGTTAGCATGACTGCACCAGTAAAAAAGCTGATGATGGGTCTTTGCAACATGGCTTCATAAGTAATGCAGTCTTTTTTTTTTGTGTTAATTTCACAGAATAGAAAACCAGTCAAATGTACTTACAATGGTTTAAAACTATACTGAAAAACAAACTGGATTAACTGCTAATCATTTAGACAAACTGGATTAACTGCTAATCATTTAGACAAATGATTTTTCTCTCATTGAAGTTAGAGAGTAACATTTAGTAGTCATTATGATGTTTGAAATTAGGACAACTTTGGGGTGATTATAGGTATTTAAAAACAAATATTCAAAATGCTATGACCAATCAACACATATTTCTCAGAAAAATAATATACTTTTCTTGATAGGTATTGTTCTTCTTGATGGCCAAAATAAGTTGCAATTAAAAACCACATTTCAAAAACTTAAGAGATCTTCTTTCCATTTCTGTCTACACAAATCACCATCAGTCTGAGATCTATACTGTTTTATATTGTTCACAATTAGCAGCTCATTCAAATAAAATAATTTTAAAAGTATTAAAAGTACAGGTTGGCAAACTATGGTCCATGGGTCATACCTGACCTTTGTATTTTTATAGGAACCATGAGCTAAGAATGGTTTTACATTTTCAAATAGTTGAAAACAATTCAAAAGAATAATACTTGGTGAGATGTAAAAATTATGTGAAATTGCCCAGCCGGTATGCTCAGTGGTTTCCAGGCACAGCTGGATTCTAGGTCAGGGCACTTGCCCGGGTTGTGGGCTCGATACCCAGTAGGAGACATGCAGGAGGCAGCAGGTATCTCATCGATGTTTTCATATCTCTTTCCCTCCCCGCTCCCTTCAATCTAAAAATCAATTAAAAACATTATTTTCAAAAAATTATGTGAAATTAAATTTCAGGGCCCATGAATAAAGTTTTATTGAATCTCAGTCATACTCATTTGTTCACGGCTGCTTTTGCGCTGTAACACTACAGCTGAGCAATTGCAACAGATCTATGGCTTACAAAGCCTAAAATATTCATTTTCTGGTTCTTTCAGAAAAAGTTTGATGATACCTCAATGAAAGGAGAGATGAAACATTTTTAATGGCATGAATAATGAAACCTATCTTACTTGCTGCCTAGGGAAAAACTTTAAACTGGTAATTTATAAATACAATTAAAATAAAAATCTAAAAGTGGCATAATCATGAAATACAAAAAATGGCATAAAGATGTTCTAGTTTTAGTTTATTGAGGGGAAAAAAAGCTTTTACTTCATGATCATCACATACACTTGCTTTTTTAAATTTCAATTTAGTTTTATTAATATCATAAATTTAGGATTTTGTTCAGAGCCTGAGTTTGCTCTCTCCCTCTCTCTCTCTCAAATTTGTAAATTTTGTTGTTGGTTCTTCTTCTTTTTTGTTAATGCTAATGATATATAACTATAAATATATATTTTTATTATAGAATATACATAACATAAAATTTACCATTTCAACCATTTTTAAGTGTGCAGTTCAGTGGCATTAAGTAGTCACACTGGTGTGCAAAACACTTGCTTTTATACCATTGCTTTATATGGAATTCTACCAGTTACCTAATACAAAGCTTTCTAAAGATATATTTTCATACTACTTTACAGTCAGCCAATTTTTATTCACTATGGTAACAAAGATTATTTTCACAGTAATAAAATCATGTTGTAATGTAGGAGCAATACTCAACTACAGTAACACAAGACCTTTTTTTAGTTTTGAAGACTCTTGTGAAGCTTTGCAAAAGACATAGAGATTCTATTAGCATTTACACTATCATTTATAGAGAATAATTCACTTGTCAATTCTCCCTTCATAATTACTATAGCTTTTAAAGGAGGTGTAATGACTAACTTATAATGTAAGCAGTTGAATTTGAACTATTCACTATATCTATTTTTTGTTTGTTTTTTTAAGTCCTCACTAGAGGATATTTTTTTCCCATTGATTTTTTAGAGAGTGGAAGGGAGGGAGGAGGAATAGGAGAGAGAGAGAGAAAAAAACATTGATGTGGGAGAGACACAGTGATTACTTGCCTCCCACACGAGACCCCGTCCAGGGTCAGGGATCGAACCTGCAACCTACGTACTTACTCATGACTGGGAATCGAACCCGAGACCTTTGGTCCACTCTAACCACTGAGCATAACCAGCCAGGGCTATAATATCTATTTTTTATGCTTATTAAAAAAAGACGCTTTCTTGGGAAGACACAAAAATAGGCAATAAGTTAAACAATTTTAAGTCAAATTTGGAAATACCCACTCTTTGCCCCTTGATGGCTGTAACATTTCCAAGTAAATGAAGTGTACTACATTTAATATTGGCAACCTAATTTTCTCCAAAAAATATGTGCAGAAAACACATGGTACAAAATTAGAATACCATGTTTTTAATACCATAATCAGTGAGGACTTAGAATATGCATTGCATATCATAATCCCTGTGGAGTTTGAAATAAACTTTATATCTCCATTGTCTGATCTCTATATTGGAAGACTTTAAATTAAGTTAAATATATAATATTACTTTAAAAGATGAGTATTGTTTGACATAGTACTGTGAAGTTAAGCAATGGAAGCTAAAAGCAGTAAATCCATCCCAATAAGTTTATAATTACAATTAAGTTAAGACTGGACATATCCTTTACTAATGGACTTTCTGATAGGAATTTCTCTTAACAATCAGCAATACTTTCCATCCACAGAAGACCAAGAACTACAGTGGGAATGCAGTGGAAACTATGTGAAGAGAGAAGTGATGTACTCATCTAATGCCACAACATGGTATTTGCTACACAGGAACCAACTATATACTGATCTTGCCAGAGTGTTAGTTTTTGGAAATGATCAGATGAAAACACCTTTTTCTCAATGTTCATATCATATATAACCTCACAGTAAGGAAAAGACGACAATAAATCTGAAAAGGAGACTAAAAAATTGGACAAGTCAAGAAATTCATTAACTGTCTCAGGTTCTGTAATAACAATGTAGAATAAAATCAGAAATGCAGTTTTAGAATCTAGAGGTGAAATCTGAATGTTATTTTTAATATTGTGACAACCTAAAAGTAATAAACTACTCCATTTTAGAAATTTTGATGGTGAGGTTCAACCTAGTATAGATAGCATAATACTGAGGTTTATAAATGTCTATTTGATAAAGAAATAGAAGTAATATAATACAAACATTAAATATTTGGTTTGAAATTCAAAGATACAGGGCAAATTCTCTGCTACGTATTAGGTATAATCTTGAGAAAAAAACTAAGTCTTCTGAATTCCAGTTTTCTCATACAAAATAGGGATGGAAATATCTCAATCATTGCTAATTATGAAGAAAAAATGAAATATATACATGAAAGTGTTATGTACAATATAAAATGATTGTAGAAATATGACCATTCTTCAGATATGACACTGAATTTAATGAGCCAAATATTTTACTTTATTTAACTTATTTTTTACTTATTTTTACTGACTTTAGAGGAAGGGGGGAGAGAGAGATAGAGATAGAGATAAACATTGATGTGAGAAACATCGATCAGTTGTATCCTGCATACACCCCGACCAGAGAGAGAACTTGCAAGTTGGGCATGCACCCTGACAGGGAATAAAACCCACTATCTTTTGGTGTACGGGATGATGCTCCAACCAACTGAGCAATACTGGCCAGGATGACCAAAATATCTAAATAGTATATTTATTATCATGTATTTTAAAGACCAAGCACACATATTTTTCATCTGTGATAGTCATAATTATTCCACTCCATTAATTTGGGACTGAAAGAAACTGGCATTAAATATAATATATAATTTTCCAACTTTTGCCTGATTATTTCTAAGTCAAAATAATCGAAAGTTTAATTAGAAAATAATTTCTATTAAAAAGTTTCCTGACTTAGTTGTTCACTTTGGATTATAAAGCACAGACCATTTTAGATTTTAGACTGAAGCCTGGAGTGCTACATAATCACAGGCACACTGAGCAACTGAGATGGCAATGATGATGAGGGTGATTAGAGAAAATCCAAACTTGCTAGCTAAACTGCATATTTCCTGGGGAATGTCTAAAGGAAAGATTTGCTCACAAAGGCACATATGTTATTCTTAGTTTATCAAGTGTATGTAATAATATGTCCTTTTCTCCTATTACTAGTTATTAATAAAATTTGCACTGTGAGCAGGTAAAAATTTGAGGTCACTTCATATTACCATAATCAATAACATCATTCCTTACCTATATGTTAATATAAAGTTTTCAATGTGCTTTCACACTGCACCTTAAGAACAATACTTCAAGGTACATGGTATTAACTATACTTTGTTGGCAAGGAAACAGATTCAGAAACCTTGAATAATATACTCAAGTTCACAGGACTACAACTATAGCAAATAAGAAGCCTCATCTTTTTCAGTTCTTGCTTAGAGCTACTTCTACTTAGCACCTGTGAGTCTTTCTAACTCTACCCAAGTATCCAGGATTATAAGAGACACTTTCTGTTCTGGTTCTGTTATGCTGAAGAATTAATAACTAATGACAGGCCACTCCATTTAAAGAGGCTGAGAACATTGCCTTGTATTCCACAAAAGCACAAGTTTTTCTGGGCAACTGATTTTTTTAAAGTCTTATAAGGTAAAAGAGAATAATGATAAATTTTCTCCATGACTATATACCCAAGTAGACTAATGGATTGGAAATCTTTGTGGGATGGGAAGGTTGAAGGAACTGAAATTTACCATGAAATGCCTTTCTAACTCTAAATATCTTTCCAGCTCTAAAACTATAATAATGAGTTAGTTAACTTCACAGATTTTGTGAGGAATGTAGAAATAAAAATTTTCCTCAATTTTCCAAGTACTTAAAACTATATATTATTTCACCATTATGAAATACTTAAATGCCTTTAAGGACTATATTTTATTTAGTTTTGGGGAGAATTAAATAAAATTTTCTAAACTAAAGTTATTAGAGGAGGTTTTAAAAGTAACTTTTAAAAGGCTACGTTTATATCAGTACTTTCCTCATTACTACTAGAAAGCCCCTAAGCATCACTACAGTTTATTATAAAGGCTACAAAACTATATAATTTCTTATTGTATTACAAATGCAATAATAGATTGAAGTAGTTATTGAAAAGAACACTCAATGATTCATTCAAGTTGCAAAAAGGTAACACTTGAGTTCAGACAGAGAGAAAAGTTATCATGAAGAAGAGTGAGAGATAACAAAGCAATCACCTTCTACCTTTAATGATGTGGATGCCTGCTAAGCCATTGAGAGCACAAACTAGTTGCCGATGTGCTTCTTCACATTCAGTTCCACATTTCTTCTGCAGTGATGTCAGAAGCTCTTCCATTGTCATGGTGCTACAAGAAGAGGCAGACTGCTTAGAACGTGAAAGGAAATCCTAAGTGAGAGTATTATTATATCGCATAAGATCATCAGACGCTTACAGAGTCTTTGTGAAATCTTCAGCATCTTTCTCTTCACCTCCATTTTTATCACTATCACTTTTAACTTACTTACAGTTGTCCCCACTTATCCGTGGGGATACATTAAAAGACCCGCAGAAGATGCCTGAAACTAGAGAGTACCCAACTCTATAAACTAAAAAAATATAAAAACAAATACCTTTTATATCTGGAGTGAAGCAAAAACAAAACAACAAAACTCTCCACAAGAGTCCTAATTTGAAAAGAGATGTTAAAAATCATAAAAATAATTTGAAGATGTGATTCTCTTCCACAAATGAAGTTTCATACCAAAGAAAATGACCACCCTGCTAAAATAATTGACAGCTCAGTGATAAGGACATGAAACTGTGGGCTAGGAAGCTAATTGCTTAAATATTGTGTATTATTACTATACCAGAGGCCCGGTGCATGGATTCGTGTACCGGTGGGGTCCCTTTGGCATGGCCTGTGGGGATCAGCTGAAACTGGCAGTCTAAGGCCACCTGTCGCTCCTGCTCATGCCGGTCCCGCTGTGCCTGCTGCGGGCTCACACCCAGTCAGTCCCGATCGGGAGAGGCTTGTGCCGCTGCAGTGGCGCTTGCCAGCCATGAGCCCTGTGTCTGGTGCCCGGTGGTCAGTGTATGTCATAGCGACTGGTTGACTGGTCGTTTGATCGTTAGGTTGCTTAGGCTTTTATATATATAGACTAGAGGCCCAGTGCATGGATTCGTGCACTGGTGGGATCCCTCGGCCTGTGACCTCTCGCAACCCAGGACCCCTAGTGGGATGTCGGAGAGCCGGTTTTGGTCAGATCCCCGCAGGTCAGGCAGAGGGACCCCACTGGTGCATGAATACGTGTACCGGGCCTCTAGTATGCATATAAGATCTTTGGTTAATCTCTCCCTGCCCTTCCCCTCCTCCCTTCCCTGTGAGATTCATCAATCTGTTCCATGTTTCCATGCCTGTGTGTTGAGTGTCTGCCCCCTAGTGGTCAGTGTGCGTCATAGCTATCGGTCGAACGATCGCTTAGGCTTTTATATATATAGATTCTCAGTTGTAATGGGAGGAAACTGATAATGAAACCTTTTTTGGAGTGGCAGGAACTCTCCGCGAACGGCCTGCGGGTGGCAGCAGGCCTGCCGGAGCCTCAGCAGTGGGTACAGGATGGAGGTGACAGTCCTTCGGTCCAGGCTGCTGAGCTTCAGAGCCCAGTCAGAAATCTTCCTGAGTTTGACTACGGCATCCTGGCAGCACACCTCATGCTGACGGTGATAGAAATGTCTTTCCACTGGAGAAAAGTGGAGCCAGTGGGTTTCTTCTGTCTGAGGAGGTATCTGAATCTGTAGAGAGAAAGAGAGAGAAAAAAAAAAAATTCACCTGGAAATTTAACTGTTCATTCCATCTCTTTTTTTTTCCTTTTAATACCCTTAATTAATAAAAACTTATTGTACTGACTTGGTCAATCACATCTTTCTTTGCAGACCTCCACAGAATCTTGGCAATAAAGCTGTAGAGGGGCTGAGGATTCTTCCTGCAGTAAGGGTGGTAGAGAAGTCGAACCCACCAGTGCTTGACACAGAAAGGTTCAACACCAAGAAAGACCACTAGTCCGAAAAGATCTGAAAAGACAAAAAGAACAGAGCAGGTTGAGAATAACTGCTTCTGTATTTCTTCATTGCAGTTGTTAGAAACTGCCCAAATTGTGGGTGTCACAACTGCAGGAGTATTACCAGCAGTCAGTGGGTAGAAGCTAAATATCCTTAAATGCAGAGGACAGCTGCCAACGAAAAAGAATTATCTGGCCCAAAATGTCAATGAAGCAAAGGTTGAAAAATGCTGGTCTAACACACACAAAAAAACAAATGAGACTTCCACTTTCAAATACAAAATAGTAAATCATGGCAGGCTAACACTCCCACTGTAACAACTACAACAAGAACAGACACCACAAGAATCAGAGTTTTAAATAAATCAAAGAGAGGAAGAAAAGAGCAAGGAAAAAAACCCTAAAATTCCAGAAACTTTTGGGTGTGATTTTCTTGACTGTGGAAATAGATTCATGAGTATATACGTATATTTAAAATTCCCAAATTTTACATGTTAAATATTTACAGCTTTATTATATGTCATTTACTCCTTAATGAACCTGTTTTTAAAAACATTACTCAAGAATTTGCTGAATGGTGACAAGCGCTCAAAACATCTGCCAACACCTCACATATCCAAAGTAACCTACCCAGAAAACAGGAATTTTTGCTTATACTCTTTTAACATTAAAATCAGAAAAAAGTAACTCTGAGAGTCTTTTTCTTTTTTCAGTACCTCTCAGCTAACTTTTGAGATGAATGAGATCTTAGTAACACCTAAATAGCTACAATTTGGGCAGTTTCCAAATGTAAGCGCAGACCACTAAATCTGGCCTTTTAGTTATCCTGATATTATTCTATAAATATATACTTTAATCTAACTTACTAAAATTATACAAATATTTAAGTATGTACTTATAAAATCTCCCTAGACGATGTTTTTCTTCCTAAAAACAATGATCAGAAAGCAGACTGTTTTTAGGTCACAATAATTAATGTTGATATTTTTATTTTAGCAGAGTGATAAGTTGTCTTGATGAAAGCAAACAATATACAATAACTTGAATTTTCAGTAAGATAAGTTTTGAGGATGAATATTTGCCACAGGACTCCAAGAATATCTATATTTTACAATTTAACAACATTTCAATGACAGCTTTTAGGGAACTTCTTATGTAGAACAACTTTAAACTTTTAGTTTTAAATATTCACAACTTGAATAAAAGTTTTAAAAATGCAATGTCTGCTCTTTGGAAAAACTAAGTTACATAAATGAGTATGTAGTAGAAGCATGAGTTCTACTGTGTGGGGGGAGAGAGAGGAGAACTAGACACAAGCTAAATGTCCAAGAAAAGACAGTTGAAGGGATAATGGCATAACCACATGGTGTGATATTATACAGCTATTAATATTTTATTACTTTTACAATTAGTAAAATTATAATGAATTCAGGCAATAAAAATTATGGTCCTATTTTTATAGATACAGTCAATTAAAATGAATTCTCTCTCTCTCTCGTCGGGTTCTTTGCGTTTTCTATTTACTACTTTGGAACTTTGAGTTCAATTTGGACCTTATCTCCACTGTGCAGGCATGCGCAATGACTGTTCAACTTAGTACAATGGGAATACTCACTATATATCTGTCCTCATATTTATAATCAAAAATTACCCAATTCCATTAAAAAAGATAAATGCTTATAACTACAGGAGTCAAATATAAATACATATATAATCACTTAAGTAAGGATTTCAGCAAAGGTTAAAATAATACTTTCTCTTCAAAAATTAAGCTTTTCAAATATATGTAGTATGTGAGAAAACCATATATTACCCTCCAGTCCTCTCTGTACTGGAGTACCACTGATGCACCAGCGATTAATCCCACTCAAGCGCTGAGCCATTTCTGCAGCCTGATGAGAGAGAAATATGGAATAAAAAAGAAAAGAAAAAATAACCACAGGAAAAATGCAGAAGTCAGGAATGTTGACTCATGAAAACAGCCCATGGAAATCTACACTTTGGGTCAGAGGCACTTGCTTCTATTTAGTAGTTACCATACTCCATGTTGACTGTCCTATTCAATGGGCCAACTTATAATATAGTGGTTCTCATTAGCAGGATGCCACGGGTCCCTCTCCACCACGCCCCAAAGGAAGGGTAGTTCAATTATATGTAGAATGAAAAGGCTCCCTGAATGCCTGATACATCCTCACCCCATCCTGCAGTGAATCACTGTACTAAGAGATGTGATTCAAAAATTCAGGTTACAGGTTGGCCAAAGACAGGAATAAAGACATGTGACAAAGGATGAATCAAAATTCTATCTTCTAAAGTAGCATTTCCATTGCCATCTGGTCTCTCTGATAAAAAACTACCAAAGTCAACTTTGGTACAAAGCTATCAGAGCCTATATGATAAGCTTTCCACTTAGCAGAAATGCTTACAAAAGTCTCTAAATACAGTTTAGTTTTATCCTCATCACACATAAACTGCCATCTTATTCAAATATACATGGGCACTGCATACAGAGCAATGATTCAGAGTACTGAAAAACTCCTAAGGGTTATGCAGTTCACAGCATAAAAACAAATGTAAGAGTATTTAACAGCAAACTTCTGGCTAATATCAACACTGTGATTGATTAATTACATTTAAATTATTAAATTTTCTATGGACAGCTTCTCCCAACCCCTTCCCCTGTCCCCATCTCTTCCTCAGCTCTCAAAAAATCTGCAGAAACTCTCACTTTTACAGCAGGACATTCAACCATCTGAGCTTCATCAAGGCAGATCCTCCACCATTCCACAGCTACCAGGGGGCTTGGAATAGCCATATAGCGCTTCTGGTTCCGTAAGCGACGTCCATCCTCACTATTGCTGTGTGGGATATCTACATAATTTAGCTCTGAACGAAGGACATCATAGGTAATGATAACTATATCCTGTTCTGCCAAAAAATGAGGCTGTAAAAAGCCATCTTTCTTCACTCCTTGATATACCTAGGAAATAACCAGCACAGACAGTTAATTGCAGAAAAGCTCTTCAAAGGTCATTGAAATAATCATTTACGTATCGCTTACAGAGCCCTTTCTCCATGTTTAGCACCAACCATGCTTTGAGATACCTTCCATACCTGTCAAGAGAAAGACACATTTTAGTGTGGAAGACTAATAATAGGAGCAAAGTGAAAGGAACTGTAACAGAAGTAAATGCAATAGCATCACAGTGGAAGGACCAACTCCACGGCTGGAAAGGTAAATTCAGAGAGGAGTTAAAAGTTTAGGTGGATCTTGAAGAACATTTAGGAGTTCTCAAGGGGAAGGACAGGAGAAAAGGACATGACATATAGGTAGGTAGGCAGATGGAATCAACAACATTTGCAAAAAAAGCACAATGATAACAAAAAACTAGGAAAGTAAGGGCTATTATTTACTGAACACTTTTTATATTTCAGACACTGTGCTAAGCTTTATCTACCTTCAACAACAATCCTGTTAGAGGCTGTTATCATTCCTATTGCACATCTAAGAAACATAAAGTAACTTGCTCAAAACTGGTAGAGCCAAGCCCTAGTCCAGCCGTGGGCAAACTACGGCCCGCGGGCCGGATTCGGCCCGTTTGAAATGAATAAAACTAAAAAAAAAATACCGTACCCTTTTATGTAATGATGTTTACTTTGAATTTATATTAGTTCACACACACACTCCATCCATGCTTTTGTTCCGGCCCCCCGGTCCAGTTTAAGAACCCATTGTGGCCCTTGAGTCAAAAAGTTTGCCCACCCCTGCCCTAGTCTGTCTGGTCAGTGGTTAGTGTTGGGCCTCCCTGGACTGAAGTGTCTTGGGTTCAATTCTGGTCAAGGGCACAAACCTCGGTTGCAAGCTCGATGCCCATTCCAGTTGGGGCACATGTGGGAGGCAATCAATTGATGTGTCTCTCTCACATTGATTTTTTTTCTCTCTCTGTCTCTCCCACTCTGTTCCACTCTGTCTAAAAATCAAACCTCAGAGGGAAGGCAGGGAGGGTTGGGGGGAGGGGGAGAGATCAACCAAAGGACTTGTATGCATGCATATAAGCATAACCAATGAACACAGACACTAAGGGGGTGAGGGCATGAGCTGGGGGGATGGGTGGGGGTAATGGGAGGTGAAGGACACATATGTAATACCATAATAAAGAAAATAAAAAAAAAATAAAATAAAAAGTATATAAAAAAATCAATAGAAAAAAATATCCTCGGGTGAGGATTAACAAAAAAATAAACAAAAATAAACTGGTAGAGCCAAGATTCAAACTAAGGTCTGTATACCCCACAGAACAGAGCTGTTCAATCACAAAGATGGCATTTTGCTTATTACTCTCTCCATGCCTATGAAAGTGGCTGAAATACAGAAAACCTACAATAACATTTGAATGGGAAGAACTGAGTGAAAAAGAACATTAACATTAGTAAACAATGACACTGAATGAACACACACTACATGCCAGCACTTTATCAAATTATCTTCCCAGTAAATCTGTGAGGAGATACTATTTTCAGAACTTAGCACAATTCCTGGCATAAAATAGGTGCTCGATAAATATTTGGTAAATGAGTAAATTCTTACTTTATAGATAAGGTAACTGAGGCTTCAGAGGATGATTCTGGAGCTATGAAGTGGTGGATCAGACAAGTAGCTACTATCATACAATGCTGTTTTTGAACTGCATTCCTCTCTGAGTATAAATGCTTATATAAAGACTTTCATTTACATGATAAAGAATTTGTTCAAAAGCTTTCATATCTTTCTACTCAAATTCTTTAACTTCTTAACTTCTAATGTGAGAAAAAATTAGTCTACCATTCTATTTAATGACCTCAATTTCCTCCTCAAGTTCTGATTTACTATTATCTCATTACGTTATTTTTTGGATAAACAACTAAGTGACAAAAATTATAAAAACTATCATAAAGAAGCAAAATTTACACTTTTCTATCCCTTTAAGGAGCCCGAATTGCCTTACCAAAACTCGAAGAGATGATGATCTCACATGCCTATTGATTTCATCCACCCACTGATGACATATGGAACTGGGTGAGATGATCAGAGTTGCTCTAGTTGATACTGGCTCCATTGCAACAAGGCAGTGGGGGCAATAGAAAGGCTTAATCTTCAGATTCTTCTCTTCATAATTCACACATTTTGCATGTTGCCACAGGTGGCATTTCAGGCACTGAACACGAGGCTTACGGTCAATATGGTCAAGTTCACCACATATGCACTCAAAGCGATAATCAGACGAATTATAGGGACTCATAATATTAGAATGTGGCACATCACCACCAGCAGGGTTTAGCGATTCAGCTTGGGTCTCTGCTGCATCTTCTTGCTGGACTTCAAAGACACAGGTACTTGTGGATGTGGTAACATCAGTGATTCCAGAGTCACTGGTGGGTGGATCATGATCTTGTAAACTGAGATTGATGTCAGGTTGACTTTGTTCCTTTTTTGTGGATGGAACAGGCTTTTTTCTCATTTTACTACGATTTCTCCTGGGCTTATAGTAATAATAGTAAGGATCATCATCATCATCAGAGGTGTTTGATGGCAAGTATTCAGAATCTGTGTCCTTGCTCAATGACTTTCTGGATTCTTTCTGAATTTTCCTCGGACTCCATACTGCCTATGAAAAACATTAATTTATTTCAACAAGCTACATTTCTGAAATTAAATTTCCAACTTTGTTGATGGGCTTTACATAAAAATCCTGCTACTGTTTTTCCTGAAGAGAATTACTCCTGATCAGTGACTTTCAATTTGCCCTTTCTAAAAAGCCTCCCCATAGTCTGCAGGTCTAAAAAAAAGGCATACTGTATAAGTAAGATATGGAGAAAATAAAAATAGAAAGATAAAAGGAGCTACTCATACTTTGGTATTAACCTCTTGTAATTTATAGTCTGCCTAAATCAATAAAAGACTAGTAGTTTATAATACATAAATATATAAATGAGGGCGATTATAAAAATTACAAGTACTAAAATATAGCATTTAAAGAAAGTGAGAAGTTAACTTACTAGTTACTGCAATTAGCAAACGACGCCCTTCTTTCTTTCTCCTTTCTACTTGTGTTCCCTCCTGCAATTATTTATTGAATGTCAATTCTGTTTGATGTTGGGGATATAATTTGAGGAATATTTAGCCCCTGCTTTCAAAGGGGTATGTTGGAAAGAGAGAACAGTAAGACGATGATGCTACAGGAATGTGTAAGAGGGCTGTACTGAGAGGGGCTGTGATGAGAAGGCAGGTGCCAGCAACAGCTTCCTTGAAGGGAGGTCAGAGCCAAGGTTGAACAGAGGAGTTGGGACACTTAACACGGAATGAATGGTATCAATTGAAGGAGATTTTCTTGTTTTGGTGATAGAAGAATTAGTAAAAGCCAGGAGTTCATTGTAGTCTTCTACCCTGGCTGGGGAAAAACTGTTGAGACCCCCTACTTGAGGAAATGAACTTATTTATCTGTGTTTTTCACAGTAGCCAAGCTGGGAGCTCCACAGTTGGACTTGCTGTCATTAGTCTTTCCTCGATTTATGTTTACAAATTCGTAACTATTTTCTTAAATGCAAATTGAAATTAACAGCCCCAAAGAAGCAGTTTTATAACAAAATGCAAACATTTTATAAGATGATGAACATGGGAAAAGAAAGACTATATAAAAGATTCAAAATGTATATAAAGAGCTATGCAAATATAAGGTATCAACATTTTTAATATATGGAACAAACTTTTAAACTGCTGACAACAGTATAAGAATAGAGAAGTTAAACTTTATAATATGCTTAACCAACTAATTTTATAATTCATGCAATAAATACTTGAACACTTGCTTATAGGCCAAGCAGGGTTTAATGGTAACCAAAATAAAGTTTCTATTCTGATGGAACATATATTCAGGAAGTAGAAAAAACATAAGTCATAGCCATAAGTGATGTTCCTAACCAGGCTGTTATTTATCTTCAGATGGTAAAAGCTTCAGTGTCAAGGTGGGATCCATCAGTACATTCTGTGAGGCATCACATATAGCTACTTAGTAAGTGCTCTGTTACCTGCTTTTTGGTTTTATCATATATATCCTCTTCCTTGTAATTCTTCCCCAATGTAAAAGTCCCAGAAAAACCATGGCCTTTGATCTGTTTCACAAGACCTTCGAAAATTAAACATTTCAGCATCCGTTTCAGAAGACTCTTGTTGCGATGAACATCATATCTATATATAGAACTGACATACTTATAGATGGAAAGGATGGAAACTCCCTTTTTTCCATTCATTTCTTTCACAGCTGTCAGGATCATCACACGTGTAGCTAAATGTAAAAGGATATGCTAACTCAGTCAAAATAATTAAAATTAAAAGAAAATAAAAATCAGTTCATTTTAATGTGCATTGAGAAACAAGTTAATAAAAAATAAAGCAAATATTTACTGAAGGTATGTTGTCTCTATATTGTCATTTTGAAGACTATATAATAAAAATTTGTCTCAACACATTAATAATTACTGTAATGGATATAATTTAAGAAAGCATTATTTGTGAGTTTATTATTCTTACAAAGCAAGTATCACTTAAAATTATTTTAAAGACCCTCTCACAATTATCTATGTATGCTATTATGAGTAAGAGAAACATTCATTTGTTAGCAGAAATTGAGGTAGCTATGCTTGAGAATAAACAAAGCCTGGTTTAAATTGTAAGCTAAAAAAATTTAAATATAATATTGAGCAAGAACTACCTGGACCAAGTTAAAAAAAAACCAAGAATTTATTTTGTTAGGATACTCTGACTTATAATTAAACCTATTTATTCACAGTATAAACAACCATAAACACAATTATTCGTACAATGACAAGATATCTCCATAAGAGGATTACAAGAGCTACAACAGAAAACTGTAAAAAGATATTTTCTTTGAGAGATTTCATACTTACGGGGGCACTGAACTTTTTCTTTTGGTTCAATTTCCATAATCTGAGCTTCTGTGTTTTTTACTTGTCCTCCAGAATGTGATGGAATGAAATAGTTGACCACTTTTCCCTGATATAAACAACATTCAGTAGTCACATAGGGTTTTGCTTTCAGAATTCTGAGTTGCTTATTAAAATTAACCTTCCTTCTATTAAGGAGATGCAAAAGAGTTGTAAAAAGTTATAAAAAGGCTAAATGTGCTATTCATACCTACAAACATTTTTTTGTTTCAGGGCTTACAGCTAGCTATCACTTTTACAAACTGTGCAAATTATGTATTACCTTAAATTATCTAAATATTAAGTGTGGGACTTCTGCAATTAACTTTTTATTATTATTATATTTTTATTGATTTCAGAGAGGAAGGGAGAGGGAAAGAGAGATAGAAACATCAATGATGAGAGAGAATCATTGATTGGTTGCCTCCTGCAGGCCCCCTACCAGGGACCAATCCTGCAACCCGGACCTGTGCCCTTGACCGGAACTGAACCCAGGACCCTTCAGTCCAAAGGCCAACACTCTATCCAATGAGCCAAACCGGCTAGGGCTGCAATTAACTTTTTAAGGCTTGTTTAAATACAGAATTAACCCATTTAATTTATACTAATACTAAAAATAACTTAGAATTAAAATATCTAATGAGAAGAAAATGCCAAAAAGAAATTACTGATACTTAAAACTGCATACTCCAATCTATTTTTCTACAAAGGAAATAGCTATTTTCTACTGTCTACTCAAACCTGAAGGCCTAACATTGCAAATCGGACCCTATCAAAATATCATATTATCACTAAGTTTGTGAGCATGGTGGTGGGTCTTACAGCTAATTACAGTTATATCCTTAATTAGTGGGCTCATTTCAGCAAATTTAATTTTAGATTTAATTAGGGAAAAATATGAACTCTATTTCCTCAGTGGAACAGTTTTAAAACTCTAAAATTTACATTTTGATACATAATTATATATTTTGGAACAAGGATTTCCAGTTTATTTCATCTAGCGCTCTAATTAATAAGCTATGTATCCTTTAAAAAGTTCTCATTATTACATTTTTTATTTACATATCTGATATTTGTGCAATTTAAAAAGAAACAGTTCTCAAAAATATTTAGTGGTACTATGGAGACTTGTAATAGTGACAAAACATTTGAGGAAGTAATATATTTTCCTAAGGGCGTTTCTCTGCCAACTAAAAGCAAGTCTGGTGAGAGAATATCCCCCTTCCTAGTTGGCCAACATCACTTAAGACAACCCTGCCAGGGCAGAAACATCCCATTCTCTGTGCCCACTTGAAGGTAACTAATAGCTAATATAAGTCATCAGCTGCAGCCTAAATTGTAAGGGTTGACTTAAGTACCAAGCAAATCTTCGACCTATGATGATTTATGAGAACATATGTCCCCTGCTTTCCCAAGCCCTACAGTACTCTTACCTCAGGAAGAGTCAGAGCATCTTGTTTGACATCCTGTCGAATGTGTGTCAGAATCAGAGCCAAAACCTCCACTGTCTTTCCAAGACCCATCTCATCTGCTAAGATTCCACCAAACAACTGTGGCCCAGCACTTGGGTACTCACGGATGATGCTAACAGAGAAGAAACAAGAAAAATACACCATAGGAATACAATTAAAATTATACTGTTTCTAAAGAGAACTAGAAGAAATGCATAAAGTCTAACTTTAAAACTACATTTTAGGGTGAAACAATTCAAATCCCTATTTCTAGAATATAAGACTGTGACAATCAAAAACTGCTGAGCTGACAACTAAGACTGCAGAAACAAGAGTGGTCTTGGTAAACAGCCATCACTTTTTCTCTTCTAAAATAAAAGGCAGCATGTCTGCCTTCTTTGAGACCTTTATGAATGTGGAAATAAAAAAATAAGAAGGGCAATAACTACTGACTCACTAATCATATTTAAGGATTCCTGTAATTTTTATAATAGACTTTGAAAAATTTAATGAAAAATATAAATACTGACCCATAATTGGATGAGATATTTTCTTAGAATTATAATCTCTTTATTTATTTTTTTAAATATATATTTTATTGATTTTTTACAGAGAGGAAGGGAGAGGGATAGAGAGTTAGAAACATCGATGAGAGAGAGAGACATCGATCAGCTGCCTCCTGCACATTCCCTACTGGGGATGTGCCCGCAACCCAGGTACATGCCCTTGACCGGAATCGAACCTGGGACCCTTGAGTCCACAGGCCGACGCTCTATCCACTGAGCTAAACCGGTTAGGGCAATTATAATCTCTTTAAATATCAATGACTAAGCATCTTAAGTCTCTTGTATAACATTCATTTACTGAAAAATGACAAGTGCTATTAATTCTATGTCTATCTTATCTATAAAAATGACTAATGAGACTTTAACTTAGTATTCCTTCTTGAGGTACTGCCAAGGCTCAAGATATATATTACCAAACTCATATAGGTTTCATAATATTTATTTTCAATATCAAACACATAAATAAAGTTTTGCCATACCAGCCTGTATATGGGTTGTAGTAGAGTTTCAAACCCTCAGATGTAACAATCTCTCGCCATAAGAAGTGCAGGGCATTTTCTAAAGAAAAATATAACCATAAAAATAAGTTTTTGTTTGTTTTCTTTTCTGCCAGATAATGACATTAAAAATAAGTTAACAAACAGGATAACCTGGTAAGCCACATACACATGGGGAAAAGGCTAGGATTTCTTTTACTCTTTTCTTCAGATACTATTTTTTAGCTTCCTTTGCTTTGGGCACAACTATTTTTCATATAAGCAAGTGATAAGACAGAAAAACAAAGTATAGCATATAACAGAGGACTAACAGGAAAGGAAAACTAATACATATAATCAACTCCTACCCACGAATGAATTTCCCTAACTTCAATTTTGAGGCATGTCTTAGAAAATAATTTTGTTCATAGTAACACGCATTCTATCCTATCTTTTCAATATGATTTAATATTA